AGAATTTCATTAATAAAAATCAAAGTAGTGGGGCACCTGGGTGGAACAGCCGGTTAAGCGTCCGACTTCGGCTCAGGTCATGATCCCACAGTTTGTGGGTTTGAGCCCCACGTCAGGCCCTGTGCTGACAGCTCAGAGCCTGGAGCTTGCTTCGAATTCTGTCCGCCCCTCCCCCACTCATGCTCTGTTTCTGTCTGAATAATAAATAAACATTAAAAAATGTTTTAAAAAATAAATAAAATAAAAGTAGAGGTTAACACTTTAGAGAAACAGGAGAAAAGCAATATAATTGATAAATATGTGTGGTGGTTGCTTAATAAAACTAAGAAAATAGAAAACCATGATGACAGATTTAAATAAAGATAAATAACCACAGTTATGGAAGACATTAAAATGATTATACTTTGTATAAATTCAGGCCAAGAGAATTGAACTTTTGGACGAAAATCTGACTCTTTACACCAAAATAAACCACAGATCAATGAACATTTAATGTAAACAAGTGAAGCCAAGAAAAATAGAGAAGAAAACAGAGTGAAATTGTTAATGATCTTAAAGTAAGGAAGGTTTTTCTTTTTTTAGAATATTTTAAAATATTTATTTAATTTTGAGAGACAGAGACAGAGTATGAGCAGGGGAGTGGCAGAGAGAAAAAGAGAGACAGAATCCCAAGCAGGCTCCAGACTCTGAAGTGTCAGCACAGAGCCTGACACGGGGCTGGAACCCACGAACTGTGAGATCATGACCTGAACCGAAGTCAGACACTTAACCTTATGAGCCACCCAGGAGCCCCAGGAAGGCTTTTCTAAACAAGATGAAACCCCAAAGTCGTAAAGGAAATAATTGATTATTTTGTTAAATAAAATGTGAGATGTTCATAAAACAAAAATAAAAACAGAAAACTAGGATATCTTTTCTCAACGTCTGATTGAAAATGACCACATCTCTCTACCATTTGAAAGTTTTTACAAATAAATAAGAAAAAAAGCAAAGTTTAGAAGAATGTACGTCAGAACGAAGATCTCACCCACAGAACATGTGCAAAGGGCCAGAAACACACAAGATATTCAAGTGTGTAGGTAATTCAAGAAATGCAAATGCGAATGAAAGATTTTCCTTTTGGTAGCACCCATAAAATTGTAAATCTGCCAAGCCTTCTGTGGCAGATGGTATTACTGTTCCCCACTGCTTGCTTCCCTGGAAGAGGATGCTACCGCCCCACCTTGGCTACAAGACCTGCAGAGAGCAGTGCCAAGTTCCAGTATTTGTATGAAGAGCCTTTGCCTGGTTCTGCCTCGATCCCCTTTTTCTCTGTCCCAAGAGCAACATGTTCCGAACAGGGTCTCCGAACAGGCTTAGATCCTGGCGAGACGACTAGTAAATCAGAGCGGCAGCCAACCTGAAACTACTGAAGCAAAGATAGAACACGAACCAGAAATAAACCTTCATGTTGGGAAGCCAAGGAGATTTGCAGGCTATTTGTCACCACAACATAACCTAGAAAAAGCTAATTGATGCACCTCCCGGTTCTACTTAGTGATAGAATGAGCTGCGTGATGATTCTTTTTGTTTTTCTACCAACTTAATGACGCGTTGGGCAGGGCAGTCGCTTGCTGTAAGTCTTCATTTCCTCACATATGTGACACTTAGGGCTCAGTCTGTTTTTGCCATTTTAATTATTATTAATTAAATTATTATTAGTCAAACGTAAGTTGTAAAAGAAGTAGTCTTTTTTCTTTTGTGACTTAAAGTAATCATTATTAATTATTAAAAATTTAAGACCATAGATAAGTGTAAAGAAGAAAATAAAAACCATGCATTCTCAGGGCACCTGGGTGGCTCAGTCAATTAAGCGTCTGGTCATGACCAAAGGTCATGATCTCACGGTATGTGATTTCAAGCCCTGAGTTGAGCTCTGTGCTGAGCCTGGAGCCTGCTTTGGATTCTGTGTCTCCCTCTCCCTCTGGCCCTCTCCCACTTGTGCTCTGTTGCTCTCTCTCTCTTAAAAATAAATAAACATAAAAAAGTTAAAAATAAAACCCATGCATTCTCACCATTTGTATTATTTTGATGCACTTCCTTTAAATTTTGTTTTTCCGCATGCATTTTAAATAAAACCACACATAGTTCTGCAACCTGCCTTTTCTCCTCAACACTCTATCATTATCACTCTCATTACAAATTTCATTCCAAATCTCTGTAAGCATTTTCAATGACTGCATAATATATTTAATGCTACCATTTTAAAACTATATTCTTTGTTATATGGACCATTTAGACTACTGGCCCAATATCAACTTACTGATTTTGTAGCCAACATGTTATTTTCAGAGAGCTATTAATCTTTCAATTTTCGCTCTAAATGGCTTTGAATCTTAATGATCTTGATCAGTCTCCTTTATCATATCTAGTTTTTTCTAACTTTATGTTCTTTCTATGGGTATTTCATTATGGAAAAAGGCATGGTGACCAATAACTCTGGTAAGTTACAAACATAAGAAACATATAGTATTTACAAGTCTTCATTTCAAAATCCAAACTCCTTTCCATAGACTGAATAATGTAGTTGGGAATTTGGGTGTATGGGGCGGGGGTGGGGGACACAGATTGCAAAAAGCAAAGACAGCTGGATATTCTAGAAAAAAACAGAAGGTTGTATTAGAAAGGCATGATCCAAATGTGAACTCATTGGTCCAAATTAGAACTGGACATATGTGTGCTTCAACAGAAAAAAAATAGAATGGATTCCAGGGAGGAGAAATATTGATTGATGAGCTACAGTAGCGATATATTGAAGAAGGCACATGTTTACACTTGCAACGAGAGAAAACAAAGGCAACCAGAGAACTCAGGAAAATGAAAATGCCACAAGAAAAGCACGATCCAAATATGGAGCAAACCAAAATGACACTGATCTCGAGCAATTCATGTCTAAGAAAAGATAATTCATGTGAATGTTCCCCCTTTAAAGAGAATGGGTAACCAAACAATGAAGTACAGACAAGCAAACGTAATTATAGCATGCTAGCTGGTTCTGAAAGGAAAAATATTTATCTAGTCATAATCATATAAATTCTGTTTATTGGCTTTCAATGTTTTGGAGCCAGCCTATCCACAAAACATAAAAGACCTAATTATGATTATAGAACAAAGTCTGAATGTTATCAGCTTTGACAATAGGAAGTCAAAGTGTCGCTGGCAGACCTTGGAAGATGGAAGTGAAGAGAGGTAACGTGGCTTAAAACTTCGTCCTGCAAAGGAAGAGACTCAGGTTATAAGGAGTAGGAGGTATGGATCAAGAAATAGAAGATTCCTGGGGTACCTGGGTGGCTCAGTCAGTTAAGCTTCCAACTCTTGATTTCAGCTCAGGTCATGATCTCACAGTTTGGGAGTTTGAGTCCCACGTTGGGCTGTGCACTGACTGCACAGAGCCTGCTTGGGATTCTCTGTCTCCCGCTCTTTCTGCCTCTCTGTCTCTCTCTCTTTCTCTCTCGCAAAAAAGTAAATAAATAAACATTTTTTTAAAAAAGAGAGATGATTACTATGTAAGTTTACAGTGAAAGCCAGTTAATGAGCTAAAAACTGTTACTGACTGTAAAGGCGGAGGAATTGAGACAAGGGAGACCAGGACTTGTCAGAGCTGCTGTCCACCATAGTTTCAGGCCAGTCCTTGCTTGACCAGCACTGGGACGCACAACCACCACGGTTCACCCTGTCGGGCTGTGAATAGGGGCATTAGAGTGACACAGAAGTTTCAGGAGGAAGGAGGGTGGTGTTCCTTCCTGTTCGCTCCTCCATGTTTCTCCAGCAATGACTTTTCACTCCGGCACAAACAATCCTTCAGGAGCAGCAGGTGGCTCCCATTTGCAGTTGTTCTGAAAAGCCCAGAAGCAGGCACACGGTGCCCACTCAATGATAGCAGCACTAGTCAGCTGGCACCCTTCTTCAGGGGCCAAGCCCCAGCTCTGGAGAGAGCACCCCTCTCCCGGGGTCTAGCAGCCCTTCTTCCAAGTTGCTACATCTGAATAACTTGATCTTTTCGGTTCTTCTACCAGCCCTCCCCTAGTAGCTGCTCTCTGCACGTGCCACCTGTGAGCGACTGCACGGGCCCCTTTGTACCCTCAGCTCTCCAGCACTTGATTGATAGCAATTCATTGTATTAAACTCTCACAGTTAAAATAACCAGTGTGATTTGTTTCTTGCCCTGATCCCAGCTGATCCCAAGAATAGGTGGGTTAAATCCTCATTTATTATTGCAGCAAGTTAATAGATCATGTGTGACTAATGTTAATAAATCAAAACTTGGCAGTGTTAGCACATTATGTATAGAGGTGGGGGTAACCACCAGATTGACTGGGGAGAGGCCTCTGGGGAGAGGCCTGGGCTCGGGGGTGAGCACAGGAGGTTGCTCATCTGTACAATTTCTTTTTAATGTACAGACATTTGTTTGATTAAAAAAATTTTTAATTCCTCATCCTCCCTCCTCATGTTTATTGTGGAATCTCATTGTTAGAGAATGGAGAAAATGCAAAATCTCCTAAAATTTTACAGTAAAATCTGGTAGACTTAAGAGTCAAAGAATTATTCAGCATTTTTGGTAAGTGATAAAAGGAAATGCTCAAATTCAAGTCTTCAAACAGTTGTAGCCAATACTAATGAATAATCATAAATTGAATAAATGCTGACTAATTTAATAAATAATAACACATTGAATACATAATTCAATGCTAAATGTAATAAATAACTGTTGTTATAGTTGAATAAATTAAACTATGCCTCTACAAAACAGCATGAAATGAAGTTATTTGCTTTTGACTGTTAGAAGAAAATGAAAAAGAAAGGCCATGGTGAAAAGATAAATCAGAAATGGTGGATGACAGAAGCATTAAGACCCAGTTTGCCCAAAGCTCCTCATTTTAGACATGAGTGAGGCAAGCTCCAGAAAAGACTTGGTTACAACTGAATGAAACTTTGCTGTCCTCTATACTCCCAGAAGAACGATGTTAGACTCCTACAGTGTGTCAGGCACAGTGTTAGGAGCTGGGGACTCCAGGGTCCATTTCATCCAAAACTTACAGTCTGATAAGAAAAGGCAGAAATTCAAGGAACACACAGTATCCCTCTTATGTCCAGGCCCATTCACAAAGGCCGTCCCGTGTAATAGTTCATTTTGGCTTCCCAACAAGGCTGTAAGGTAAGTGACATCCTTCGCAGAGAAGGAAATTGAGACTCTAAAGAGGTAAAATAATTGCCCAAAGCCAGCAATGTCTGATCCCACAGCCCCTATGCTCTCATCTGCAACATTGCAATCTACAAGGGTCATGGTCATAATACTAGGAGGGTGATGGAGAGGAGAGCATTTTTTTTTATATTTTTATTTATTTCTAGGAGAGAGAGAGAGAGAGACAGCATGAGCAGGGGAGGAGCAGAGAGAGAGGGAGTCACAGACTCTGAAACAGGCTCCAGGCTCTGAGCTGGCAGTCAGCACAGAGCCCGACGCGGGGCTCGAACCCACGAACAGCGAGATCACGACCTAAGCGAAAGTCGGATGCTTAACCAACTAAGCCACCCAGGCGCCCCAAGGAGAGCATTTTTTAAAGAGGATCTCCCCGACTCAGATTTATCTAACTTAAAGACCAGTTTCAATTAAGCCTTGTGGTGGGAAACAGCCTCTCTTTGGGCCTGGTTCCTACAATGCTGACACTCCATCTTTCTGCTGCAGGAGAAGAAGTTTGCTATGAAAGGGTGGGGTGCTTTAAAGATGGTTTACCATGGACGGGGACTTTGTCAAGACAGTTGGCAGGCTTACCCTGGTCTCCAGAAGAGATAAACACTCGGTTTCTGCTCTACACGAGACATAATCCCAAAGCTTATCAGGTAAGCTTACTTGCTGCCTTCACACATAGGTTCTTCCAGAATATATAAGATGTAGCTATACATATAGATGACCTAGGTTTGGTAATCTACTCTGGTATAAACTATTGACTTAAAGGCACATATTTCTTTTTAGTATTGTGAGCTAGATTTTTTTTCTCATATTACTTGTCCTAGTATTTAAATATAAAAAGTGGCCTGAGTATGTTGTTTCATATGAGATAAATTTGATATTTCATTTAATTCCTATATTAATTGAGAGCCTTCCACATCTAAGACTGTGAATAAGCCATAGTGACCCTCGTGTATTCACCTGAATAAACAAGACCGTGTCCTAAATTTATTATATTAGGGAAATGAGGTAAATAATTACCTCTGTTGCAGCATGAATTATGGTCTGTTACGTAAGATACAAACAATAGAATCTGGGAGCAGTGAGGAAGGGCTCACCTTCCTCTTGAGGGTGGGACAAGAGGCAGAAAGGCTCTGAGGAAGGGGCGCCGGGGTGGCTTAGTCAGTTAAGCGTCCGACTTTTGCTTAGGTCATGATCTCGCGGTTCGTGGGTTCGAGCCCCGCGTCGGGCCCTGTGCTGACTGCCAGCTCAGAGCCTGGAGCCTGTTTCAGTCTGTGACTCCCTCTCTCTCTGACCCTCCCCTGCTCTCACGCTGTCTCTCTCTCTCTCCTAGAAATAAAGAAAAAAAAAAACATTAAAAAAAAAAAAAGGCTCTGAGGAAGACGTGTTTTGAGGTGTGTCCTGAAGGTGGCAAGGGTTGGCATAAGCAGAGACAGACAGAGAAATGGGAGGGGGGTTAAAAAATGGTGTGGACAAATACATAAAGGAGAGAACCTGCAGAGAACATCTGATGAATGACAACATGTTGAGTTAGACTGGAAGTCCTCAAACACAGAGTTGGTTAGAAAAGTAGTTTAGAGACAAATTGTTTAACTCCTTCCTGGGTACTTTGGATTTCATCCTGTGAGCCAAGGGGCCCCACTGGTAGTTTCTGAAAAGTCTTTAGACTGTTTACTCTAGCTGTAGAACATCGTCTTGCCTGCAGCCAGGCAAGCCTGCAGGTGATGTCCAGACTGTTTAGTACTAGGCCACCCAACATGGTAGCCAAGAGCTACATGTGGCATGAAAATGGAATAAAATTAAAAATTCAGTTTTTCAGCTGCACCAACCACATATCAAGTGCTCAATAGCCCCCATGTGGCTAGTGGCTACCATTTTGAACAGTGCAAATATAGGATATTTCTACCACCACAGAATGTGCTATTTGAGATTACTAGAAAACTATAGTGCAGTTCGGAATGCACTCAGGGAACTAGCCTGAGCCAGGGAATGACCATGCTTATGATAATAGAAAATTGACGAAATGAACATCATAGACTTTCTGGAGATCTTATACATGAGTCATAAGAAGATAATGACCCTCTTATCAAAAAATTTGATTGGGGATGCTAGAGAATGAGTGACTTGTTGGATGAGTGAGGTCTGGGTGGGCTATTAGGGATTTTTGTCTTGCAGCTCAGTGGGGTCTAGAACTGGAAAAAGAGACTTCAAAGTCTTTTACCCAGTGGTGAGAGTTGAAACCCAAAGAATGGTGTGATCTCAGTGGCAGAGAAAAAAAAAAAGCATGATACTAGACCCAGGTGGAGTGAGGGGCCAGAGAAAGGGCACTCCCCAGTGAACATTTTCGTCTTTACCTGCATCTACAAAACCTTGAGGCTTAATTTCCATCAGGCCCACCCAAGACAGCCTCCTGCTCTGCCTTCTTACAAACAGAATCTGATTTGTAGCTGTCTACTTACCAGAAACACACAACTCTTCATTGTAATATGCCATTTGCTCTGTAGATGATGGTTCTATCTAAAACAAGGGAGAAAAGTCCTTATTTGGGGTATGGAGAAACTTACAAAGAAAGTGTACTTAATAGTTTGATTTTTCTAACTATCAAAAATCAAAGAGAGGAATATCATTCAGCTTTTAAAAGAAATGAAATTTGTGTAGATGCTACAACATGGATGAACCTTGAAAACATTTTGTTAGGTTAAATAAACTAGACGCAAAAGGACAAACATGGTATAATTCCAGTTATATGAAACACTTATTTGAATAGTCACATTCGTAAAGACTGAAAGTAGAATAATAGTTACCAGGGGCTGAGGGAGGGGATACTGGAGAGTTACTGTTTAATGGGTGCATCATTTTGGTTTGGGATGATAGACAGCTCCTCGAGAGGTATGGTATTGATGGCCACACAACAATGTAAGTGACTTAACGTCACTTGAAACATATACTTGAAAATGGTTAAAATGGTAATTTTTACATTACATATACTTTACCACAATTTTTTAATGTAAAGAGTATCTACATTGAATAAAAATGTTTTGGAGTGCCTTCCCTGTTTATTTAGGACTTTTAGGGTATATGTGTGGATTTAGGACTAACTATATCCCTGGTCTTGACCTTCAGTCCTCAAAGAACTCATTGGTCCTTTATCCTTCTGCACAGTGGCCATGTACCTGAACTTTTGTAGAACATAGGTGATGAAGATCCTTCTTTAGGAGAGTCTAGGCCCTAAAGGCAATGAAGAAAATATCAGACACTGAACACTTTCCTAATGAAGGGACCATAAAACCAATGCTCCTCAAATCTTTACCACTCTCTTCCATTTGGAAGAACCCATGTGACAAACCAGGTCTGTACTTGAATTTTGCAACGGATGGAAGCCTAAGGGCTTGTTGTTAAAATGTTTTATAGCAACAGTGAGGATATAGGATGAATCAAGATTCAATACTAAAAACCAGAATTGATCCATATGCTCCACTGTGCAATTTTGACTTCATTTATGAAGAAGCAGAAGTAAACTATGCTGTAGTTCAACGTACTCTTTTCTCAGATAAAGGAATTGTTAAAGCTAAACATGGTGCAATAAACTTGACCCCCCTGAGTGTCCTAGGTCTTCACAGCTACATTTCTGCAAGAATAAAACCAACCTACTATCCCCTAGGGTGGCTCATGCAATCGCTACTGGTGATGCACGATTTGTATAATCATGGAAGTTTCTATGCCTGCAGCTTTTCTCCTAGAACATATCTAACTGGTGACTGCTTTTGACTTACTAGAAATGAGATCACCTAGGAAGTAGTCGTGCTTTGTAGAATGGGTTGATTTCATTCCAGTTAGGCTCTATGATTCCTCAAAGATAAGAACGTTAAAAGTAAAGGCCTGAGCACCCAGCTAAATACTGAGACTTTAACCAGCCCTTTCTCTGGATGACCTGGTCTGTCCCAACACCGTTTTAAGGTTCTGGCCTTGTGATGGCAGAATCTGAGTTGTCTTTGAGTTGATCCCATGATGTTGTGTTGAGTTTTGCATTTTCTAGGTTAGTATGCCATTTCACAGGGGTGTGCCCGATTGAATATGAAGTAAACAATAGTGGTTTTTTCCTACCTTTTCCATGTTGTTAAATTCTTCTGGGGCTTTTGTGACAATGGAGGATGCTCGGACCCCACAATCCTTGTCAGATTGCCATCTTAAAGCTATCTCAAGGTCCCACTTTCAGCAAGTCTTGTGATAGGGAAATTCTAAACAAACTTTTTCTACCAAATTCTTTTTCCCAAATAAGATATTTTTCCGGGAGAGCATGAAATAGAAATATAGTAGGTGTTTAAGGGGCTCCAGATGGAATTGGAATGAGCATCTGGATTCTTTTAGGTATTTAGATGGACAAATGTTTTTGCACTGGGATTCCATTATTTAGCAGAGCAGTGGTTCCTGGAAGTCTCGGGTACATTTGATTTTATTATCTGCCTCTGCCCTGGGCCCTATCAGTAAAGAACAGAAGGATCAGATCCTAACTGGAGAGCTCAGTGAAACACATGACTTCAGAGAAAGACCACGAGGGTTTCAGGCCCCACTCCAGGACTCGGCTGTAGTGCTTTGGGACAAGTGACTTCTTGCGTTCTTTCCTACTCTGTAAACTTAGTACCTAACTCACAGTGTTGTGAAAGTTAAATGAGTTACTCTACAAAATGCTTAGAACAATTCCTGGCACGTAGGCACATCTGAGTGTAGCTCTATTACAATTACTGTGTAAACTAGTTTAGGATTCTCATAATTGTTTGCTCACCACCTTGGAGATTCTTTAACTAGCCAGCAAGTTGTATGATTAATTGCATGTTACTATTAATCACTGGTAGCTGGTAGCAGGCTCTTTATTTGAATTTCATAGGTATCTAAATGTGTTGCTTTCCAGTGTTAGGATTCACCATTGTCAAATTTGCAGTTTGCTGATTAGACTATTCACTTTTTCTCAAAATGGGATTTTGCACATTTCTTCTATTGTGTCTCTTCATTTTTCTCTTAATAATGAAATTACTTAAATTCATAGTACCACTTACATTGAGTTTGGTTATAAAAAAGAACCCAACAAACTACAATAATTACCAAAGAACATTTAATGTAATTACATAAAATTATCTTTAGTATGCTGTTCTATTTCACGTGCTGAGATCCTAACCTGTATTCCTCATTCATAAAGTGGGGTAAACAATCTGTTTTGCCACTGCTGTAGCATGCTTTTAAGCCTCTAATAATATGCTACCCATGAATTACATCGGCAACAGAGGAGCGCTATACAAATGTAAGGTGAACAGAAGTCCTGACTGAAATTGACCCAACAGTCCTGAAGCCCTGACTGAAACATTGCCTTTAAACCACACACTTTCCTTTTGTGGTGATTAAATGTGTACCTTGTATTTTATGATGCATTAATGGCTTCTTGGTATTTTGCCGTGTGTCATGGTAACTATTTCTTTGGTTAAAATGTTTTAAAGAAGGTTGTTAAAAATCAAATTTAGTGGCAGACTTCTGAGCAGACAGAATAATTCTACTAAATGTCAAATAGTTTTGAATTAGTTTTTTTACCTTAATCTCTTTTCACTCGAAATAGGAGATCAGTGCAGTTAATTATCGAACTATCCAAGCCTCACACTTTGGTACAGACAAGATGACCCGTATCAACATACCGGGATGGAAAACAGATGGAAAATGGCAACAGGACATGTGCAATGTATGATGTGCATAAACTCTTCTTTGTACTCATCTAAAAGCTGTATGTTTAATGGGAATGTACCTCACATATATTAGTGCATATTCATGGAAATTCCTCCATTCAGTCACTCACATTGTCCTTGTCCCAAGGCCCCAAGTGAATTATCCATTTCCCATTTATGCTCACTTATTATGAATTGCATGGGTTATAAGGGAAGCATATTTTTTACAATTATTCTTTGATAAATTCTCACTTTTGACAAAAGATTGAATGCTACGATAAATTTCTCACTTAAAGGAAAAAATTTTCCAGGTTCACTCCAAGAAATTAATTTTCATCTCTAGTACTCAAGATTGATAGCCTGCTAACATAGTAAGCAATTATTTATAAGGCCATATAGTATAGTAGAGTAAGGCTGCCTGAATTCATACCATAGTTCTACTTACTAAGATCCTGGGCAAGTTTGATTAATCTATTTGTGCTTCAGATTCCTTATCTGTAAGTGGGGATGAAATACGTTCATGTATATAAAAGAGTTAGGATAGGACCCAGCATGTAGTAGGTTTTCAGTACCTGGTAGTGTTATTTCTATTATGGAATCCATAGTTCAATCGCTTTGGTTTTCTTTAATTCTTATTTCTTAGATATTTATAATAAATCTTTGTACCAGGTGCTTCTCAAAGTGGAAGACGTGAACTGCATTAACATCGACTGGATTAACGGTTCACTGGAATATATCCATGCCGTCAACAATCTCCGCGTTGCCGGTGCTGAGGTGGCGTATTTTATTGATGTTCTCATGGTAAGAAAAGTTGAGTGTTAAAATGTTTTTTAATGTTTACTTTTGAGAGAGAGAGAGAGAGAGGGAAAGCATGAGTGAGGGAGGGGGACACGGAGAGAGAGAGACACAGAATCAAAGCAGGCACCAAGCGCTCACCACAGAACCTGATGCAGGGCTCGGACTCGTGTGATCATGACCTGAGCCAAAGTTGGATGTTTAACCAACTGAGCCACACAGGTGTCCAAAAGTTAATTTTTTTAAAAAAAAGTTGTTTCATTGGTTTTTCATCATAACACAAAGAATCTGGGTCAATTTCATGGCTTTTTTAGTAGCTTACACAGGTGCTGAACATGCAGGATACTAAAAGTATTCCTGTATGATGACTAGAAGAGGGAAATTCCTTCTTGGGAAAGACGTGCCTGTGTTTCTACAAAGCGCCACTTGGTGGCAGTGTCCCTTCACAGGCTCCTCACCAAAGGCTCCCCCACCCCCACTCCCAAGGTCGCTTCCTGGGTCAGTTTGTAGGACCCTCTCCTGCTGCTTAGTTTTTGTTGCCTTGTAAACCTATCGTTGATGATTTTAAACTGTTCCCATCTTACGAATGTTATTTGTTTTAAGAATATGAAATACATTTTCCCACAGCAATTGGGTTCTATGGCAGTGACTTAGTTCCGTCTATAGGCTAGTCCAGGCACAATGACCCATGTTTTCTAAAAGAATCGAATAGACTTTGCTATTTATGAGGGATACACCCTGAGACATTTATAATCCCTGAATGCACTACCGTAATGGAAAGTAATTTCCCACCATAAAATGCAGTGAAGTAAAATCTAAAGATTTATGACCCTTTCAGACTCTTAAGGAGGGTTCATTCATTTGCTCAACAAAGATTTGTCTCTGCATTTGCTGTGGGCTGGGCATGGTCCTGGTCACTGAAGGTACACAGCGAGTGAGACAGTGTTCCTGCTCTGACAAAGTGTGGGGACGGTACTATGAACAAGTCCAAGGCAATGGGGTGGAGAGACACTGCAGTAGCAGCTAACCTAGATGGGCGGCCACGGGAGGTGACTTTGGAACCCACAATGAGGAATCGGGGAGCTAAGCACTCACCTCTGCCCCACACTGCTTGTCAGCTCTTCTTGCTGTCAAGGGAGACCGGGGCACAAGGAGATACTTAAATGGGTCCTTGTACCCAAAGGATGGAATCAGATTTATCTCCTCTTCAGAGAAAAAACTCGTCCTAAACTTTTGTGAATTTTTTCTGTTGATCCGGAGGCCTGAGCTATGGGTTCTCCAAGGTCCAGGAAAAAAAGCAGTAGCAGCTTGTAGGAGAGGAAGTGTTTGCTGAACTGAACGGGAAAGCATTTGCTGAGCTCAGTGTCCAGTAAATTGATGGAGACGGAGGAGGGGAAGGCTGAGGGAGAGATGGGCTGCTCTCAGATACCTGGCTGAAGAGGGAGCACAGGAAAGAAAGCAGAGATTTCAAAGGGTGACATCAGCAGAGGAGCAGGAACATGCAGCCACTCACGTGCAAACCAGAGAGAAAATACCCTTTATAGAGCAGCACATATTATTGTCATTACTGTCATTACTTTCCATTACTGGGAAAATAAAAAGTGGAACATTTGATCAAATGGCACATTTATCCAAGTGAAGGTGATCGCTTGCTATTCACTATTATCATGAAGAGAACTCGAAGCTTAGATGAAACTAAAAATGCTTGCTCCTTTGTTCCCCTTTAAGTTGAGTGAGTGTGTGTGTGTGTGTGTCACAGTCACTTTGTGAATATTCTTAAAAACTCCTCTTTGAAGACCAAAGTCATCCCAGGCATTGGTCTGAGTTGCTTTCAACTTGAGGAGACAGACACAGGTAAGGTGGGTAACAGCCTGAGTCTGACCGTGTCTGGCCCGGGGTTGGGAGAATGCTGAAAGGGTTGGGTCTCAGCAAGAATGGACATGGGCTGGGAGCCACGGATGCGGCCCCTGGGCTGTTCTTTTCCTGAGGGCCATGAGGCTGCTTAGCACCCGAGGAAGAACCTGACAGAAGCCATTCCTCTAGGCCTGCCTGCTGCTTTCTCCTTCAGCCAGATGCGGAAGTGGATGGATGTGGGGGTCACGTCACTGGACTGGTCCCCATCCTGTATGTGACAGAGACAATTATGCCAAGCATATGTCAAGAACATTTAAGCCACTCCACCTGGTCTTTTAAAAATATTTGTTCTGTTTTCCTTTAAAACCCCTACCAGAAAAAATTTGGATATTCTCCTTCAAAAGTGCACTTGATCGGCCACAGTGTGGGAGCACATCTGGCGGGGGAAGCTGGGTCAAGGGTACCAGGCCTCGGAAGAATAACTGGTAAGCCCGCCCTGGAGTTGGGCTTTGAATTTGTTTCCACACAAAATCAAGTGTCTGAAGCACCAAGGGAAGTAGCAGAGGCAGATGTCAGACAGGAGAAAACTGTGGCTCAACTAAACTAAAACATTAAAGTGTTTTCAAAGCATGAGCGTGGAGACCCACGTTCAAGAGGTGCAAGAGCGTTCTCTGCGGCAACGGGCAGTATCCCTGGCGGCAAAGTCACGGAAACCGTGACCACCCCCCTGTGGAGGACGCCTAACGACTTACGACGCACACACCCCGCTTTGCAGCTCCTTGCCGCCAGCTAACGCGAAGGCTGGGTTGGAGCCCCCCATGGTCCTGGAATGGCGTCCGTGACGCACCTGCGTGGCCGCTCACAAGGGATGCTGCCTGTGGGACTCGTTGAAGGCCCGTGCCGGTCCTGTTCCGGCTGCTAACATGTTGGATGTTACTCCTGAATATACTGTTAAGCCTAATAACACGGGGCGCCTGGGTGGCTCAGTCGGTTAAACGTCCGACCTCGGCTCAGGTCATGATCTCAGGTCATGATCTCATGGTTCGTGGGTTCGAGACCTGCCTCTGCGTTGGGCTCTGTGCTGACAGCCAGCTCAGAGCCTGGAGCCTGTTTCAGATTCTGTGTCTCCCTCTCTCTCTCTCTGACCCTCCCCTGCTCACACTGCCTCTCTCTCTCTATCTCTCTCTCAGAAAAAAATATAAAAAATATTTAAAAATTAAAAAAAAACAAACTGGAGAGCCCAGTGTATACGATGAATTAGGATGAGTTAGTTTATACTGTGAATTCTGTTTTTGAGGTTGATAATTAATCATATCCGTTCCCTGCACTCTGACTTCCAAACCAGTTGAGTCCAATGGATGGAGATGGAAATATCAGCTCCAGTATCAACAATTTGGTCTGGCCTCTCCCCTCCGCCTCCACAACCAACCTTCTGTCAGCATGTGTCCTGTCTGCCTGACTGCTTTTCACCTGTCCGTGCCCTGGCCGCTTGCATGGTTCAGGCCTTCTGCATCTCTTGCCTGGATTTGGCTGGTCCCCCAGCCCAGTCCCCTACATGTACTGCCAAGTCATCATGTTTCCAAATACAGGCCACATCACTCACTGCTGGAATGTTCCATTGCCCAAAGCCTCTTAGTTTGTGATATAAATAGTTCACGTTTCATTGGTGCTTTTCATATTTCCGTGCCTTGGCACATCCGATTGCCCCTTGCCCCAAACAGCCACTATTCATCCTTCAAGATTCATTTCAAAAGCACCTTCTTTGGGCAAAGCTAATTCTCTGCACTTCTCTATACTTGAAATATGCCTCTATTATATCTGAAAATGCAACCGGTGTATTGCATGGTCATACAATTATTCATGCACCTGCCATTTTTGATAGACTGTGAACTACCTAGAAAGTCTCCCTTACCCTAGAAAGTCTCCCTTACCCTAGAAAGTCTCCCTTACCCTAGAAAGTCTCCCTTAGCGCCACCCCACCCAAGCATATACAAGGTGCACATTTCCTGTTGGTTAAAACAATAAATACACATACATACACACACATACATACGTATGCTTTAAATACAAATTTGAACTTTAAGTATTTTTTTTAAATAGTTAAGAACCAGGGCGCCTGGGTGGCTTAGTCGGTTAAGCGTCCGACTTTCGCTTGGGTCATGATCTCGCGGTTCGTGGGTTGGAGCCCCGCACAGGGCTCTGTGCTGACTGCCAGCTTGGAGCCTGGAGCCTATTTCAGAGTCTGTATCTCCCTCTCTCTCTCTGACCCTCCCCTGCTCTCGCTGTCTCTCTCTCTCTCCTAGAAATAAATAAAAATATTTTAAAAAATAGTTAAGAACTCCAAATTGGGTGCAAAAGGATTTGTCTCTGCTGCAGCCTCTTGGTATAAGAAGTTTTTCCTACTGAAAGCTTCTTCTTTCTCCTCGTTCCCAAACTGCAGCCCCAGCACCAGTCCACTGCCATCTTTCTTTTTGGGGACAATAAAATTATATTTTTATTCTGAAGTCATTGGGTAGCAAAAACCTCCTTTTGCTCTAAGTTTTCAGGCCCTGGGGGAAGAAGAAACGGGCACAGTGAGTGAAGTCAGAAGTTCATGGGGCCTACCCAACCTTGGGCATTTCAGCCATAAGGGAAGAATATTGCTGTTCATGTATTTAAAAATCACACTGGGTTACCATAAATTTATGAAGATTTTGCTTTTCTCGGTTTTGATTCCAAAAATCAGAAACTGTCTAACTCCAATTTTTCCGGCCAAGTAGAAAACAATACATTTTTTTAAATGTTTATTTCTTTTTGGGAAAGAGAGTACAAGTGGGGAAGGGTCAGAAGAGGGCAGACAGAGGATTGGGCCTCGTGCTGACAGCAGCCAGCCCGATGTGGGGCTCAACTCATAAACCGTGAGATCATGACCTGAGCCAAAGTTGGACACACAACCAGCTGAGCCGCCCAGGTGCCCCAGGAAACAATACATTTTAAAAAAAATTTTTTTTAATGTTTTATTTATTTCTAGGAGAGAGAGAGAGAGACAGCGTGAGCAGGGGAGGGTCAGAGAGAGAGGAAGTCACAGACTCTGAAACAGGCTCCAGGCTCTGAGCTGGCAGTCAGCACAGAGCCCGATGCGGGGCTGGAACCCATGAACCGCGAGATCATGACCTAAGCGAAAATCAGACGCTTAACCGACTAAGCCACCCAGGCACCCCAACAATACATTTTAAAAGATCTCCAAAAGTCCAAAGATTGCTATAATTTGGATGTTGTGACCTGTACACCATCTAAGTGGTTAACTTTTGAACAGTCATGTTCCTTGAGTAAAAAAAGAACTGCACTTCAAGAAAAATACTAGCTTTATAATAAAACCAGTTAAAAGCAAAATTAAATGATAGATTTTTTTTTTTTTTGTAAATTGATTTACAAAAAGAGAGAGTGAGCGTGAGCAGGGAAGAGGCAGAGAAAGGGGGAGAAAGAGAATCCCAAGAAGGCTTCATGCTGTCAGCGCAGAGCCCGATGCAGGGCTCGATCCCACTAACTGAGAGATCGTGACCTGAGCAGAAGTCAAGAGTCTGACACTTAACCTACCGAGCCACCCAGGCACCCCTAAATGATAGATTTTTTTTTAATTTTTTAAAAATGTTTTATTTATTTCTAGGAGAGAGAGAGAGACAGCATGAGCAAGGGAGGGTCAGAGAGAGAGGGAGTCACAGACTGAAACAGGCTCCAGGCTCTGAGCTGGCAGTCAGCACAGAGCCCGATGCGGGGCTCGAACCCACGAACCGCGAGATCATGACCTAAGCGAAAGTCGGATGCTTAACCGACTAAGCCACCCAGGCGCCCCCTAAATGATGGATTTTAAGACACCCATACGCTGAACCTTCGTTGCTTTTCCTCCAGAAACATGCTAGAACCATAAATCCATGATCCTCTCTCCCCTGCTATTTGCCTGTCCTCTGATCAATAGTCTGAGGTGTGTCTGCTCTATTTGGATACATCTCTACAGGGCTCTTGACTTCATCAGAAGTTTGTAACTAATCAGTAAGTGTACACTAAACAAACAGACAGCCAGCAGACTTCCTAGAGTTGAAGATAGATTATGAGGGAAATAAATGCTGTTGTATCTCAAGAGCATAGTGCGCAAACATTCACTTCCCACTCATGCCGCATTTCCGCAGGGGGGCAGCCGTAGCTCTGTTCCTGGTCCTCTCCACTCTAGATCCAGTCTCCACTTGACAGCAAAAAGATTTTGCTAAAACACAGACAGATCTCCCCTTTTGCAAGCTCGTAAGAGCTTCCCATGGCCAACCAGATGACGTCCAAACCCTTTCCTGTGGTTCAGGTCACTTCTCACTACTGCTTACAGGGCTGTCTTCATCTTTCACTCAGTTCTAAAGCTCTGCACACCAGTGTTCAAAAATCAGTTCACTGGATAGTTTCCCAGATGTGCTTCACTGCCTCACCTGGAGGCCACGGAGAGTCTCTTTCCTACCCTAGGCGTGCTGCGGACCCCTCTGTACTCTGGAAGACTCTTCTGGGCCCTCAGACCTCTGCTCCTATTTCCCATCTCCAGCAGAAGCATGCCCCAGTTTCCCAAGACTGATTTATATGTCACTTCCCTGTGGCTGCATAATAGCTATGCTCACCTCTGTCTCTGCACTGAGCAGACTGGATTGAGGTGACGTCCCCACCAGATGGAAAGCTCCTGGAGGACAAGGCTAAGCCTTATTCCTTGTATCCAAGTGCTGAACTTGGCACATATTAAGTGCTTGATAAATCATTGCCAGATGTGTAAATGAGTGGATATGTGAATGGGCATAACATCTTAGGGACCTCTAGATGTCTTTCCTTTATCTTCATTAGACATTTGAACAGGGGACAGTGGGCTGAGGGTCTAGACACCTGGGATTTTAGTCTATTTTGCCTCCAATATATGGTGACCTTGTCAAGTCACTGCACTTCCCTAGGCAGCAAGCTTTTCATTTGTAATATAATGAAGTGAAACTAAGTGAGCTGTAGCTGAATACTAGGATCCTATTATTTTTAAGTGTGTTGCTTTGTAGATTCATGTTTACATATTGAAGAGCTCTTATCTTTTATTTTTATTTATAGTTTCACATGCAGATGGTGCTTTTGAGATCATCTGCAATCCATGACCTTAATTATGTATATGGTAGTCCATGTGCAGACCCTAGGATAGCCTCTTTGATTTTTTATTTTTCTAACTTTATTGGCTGTTTTGTCATTGTCTAGATACAGCCTTACTTGTATATACGAATATGATATTGTAATATAGAGAGACCTGCATTTATATACTCAGTTTGTATATCTGTCCTTTGTCTTGGGTGGTGTTTGACCTATGTCAATCATAGAGGATAGGATATCTTGCCCTCACCATCTCTCCTTCCAAAATAAAACTAGCAGTGTGCTCTTATAGAACGTGTTTTGGCTTAAAAGACATTATGCTTTTTCCCAGGGTTGGACCCAGCCGGACCATATTTCCACAACACTCCAAATGAAGTTAGGCTGGACCCCTCGGATGCCAACTTTGTTGATGTTATTCATACAAATGCAGTTCGCTTACTCTTTGAGTTTGGTAAGTTTCTAAAACACACGGAAGCCACACTGAAGCATGGAGAAGAATTTTAGAAGCACTTATCCCGCTTTTAACCATTTCAGGTGCTGGAACTATTAATGCTTGTGGTCACCTTGACTTTTACCCAAATGGAGGGAAGCATATGCCAGGATGTGGAGACTTAATTACACCTTTATTTAACTTGGATTTCAGTGCTTATAAGAAAGGTAAATACTTTCTAAAATATGAAGCTGGCTGTGAAAAGGATCCACACCCTTTTGCACATAATATAATATAAAAATATACTTTAGTGCAAAACACAGTTACATGTATGAAGCTCCCACCAGTTGTGAGATCTGCGAGATCAGTATCTGTGTCTTAGTTATCCTCATATCCCCAGCCCCTATCCGAATATCTAGTATATTGTAGTCACTCAGTATAAACAGGGAGGATGTGTTCATTCATTTAACAAATATGTATTGAGTGCCTACTGTGTGTGAGGCATTATTCCAGGAACAACGGATGTAGAATGAATATGAAAGACGAAAACCCTTCCCTTAATGAGCTAATATCTAATTTGCTAAAAAAAAAAAAAATAAAACAAAAACAAAAAACCAATAAAACAGTAAGGAGACAAAGCAAATCATAGAATGGACTATGAGGTGTTGGTGATAGTAGGGGTCGAGTGTGGAAAGGAGATTTTTGATAGGGCGGCCAGGGAGTCCTTACTGACAAGATGGCCTAAGGGAGTTAGCCATGTGGATACCTGGGGGAAAGGCATTTGAGGCCCATGGGTGAGGGACAGCAAGTGTAAAGGGCCTGAGGCAGGAGCCTGCCTGGGAAGTTCATGGCAGTGAGGAGCCTACGAGGGCTGGAGTGAATTGAAAGAGGAGAATAGTAGGCATGAGGTTAGAAAAGGAACAGAGGCAGAGGGAGATAATGCAGGGCTTTATAAACCGTAGTAAAGGTTTCAGCTTTTACTCAACTGAGATGGGGGCCATGGGAGGATTTTGAGCTGAGTGAAAATACTGTTTGACTTACTTCTTAACAGAATCACCATCAATCACAAATTGTATTTACCACTAATTAAACAAATAGTATTTAACCCTTTATAGTAGTTTCCAGTAACAGTAATATCTATAGAGCACTTGGTAATAAGACACCCAAAATTACTATTTGGGAGCTTCATTATTCTCCAGATCTATAGATCATCATTATGTAAATAATGAAATATATCATACAATAACATATAAAATACACAAAAGTAGAATATGATCATGTGATAATATTTGGATGACTCTAAATGTCTCACCATCTGATTCCATGTGGTCAGACTATCTAGATGATGTAATGATTTCATCTTCCAACTGCCTGGCTTCATGGAAAGATACACAGATCATGACATTGAGAGTAGCTTGAATTTCCTCTTCTTAGAGACAAAGTGCAAAGTTTTAATATCTGTTCAGAAAAGTAAGTGTGATTACAGGTCTGTGTTTGCAATGATTTCTGGAGGAAAGAAACAAGTGGTGAATTACAGGTATTCAAAATGAAAAAGCTAATACCATCTAGAAGAGATAAGCAAAGTTCAGTCAAATAAGGCCTATTATAAAACTGATTTGTCTTCTTATTTTCCACACATTGTGGCTTAAAACCCTTTCTATTAGGGTAAAATATAGATTGTAATATTTCTTTATAGAACTATATACATACACAGGACATTTGAAATTCTATAAAGAATTAATTCCAGTAAAATACAGTCATCACAAGCTATCATTTCAAGACATTATAAAACTTCCTACAACTTTCTTTAAGTTTGTGTATCATTCATGTTATTAGATGAGTTTGAAGACATTTAAGATATTCTATTTTACTTTATATTTGTTACTAAGAAATCATTTACTTTTAAAATTTATGTTTCCCTATATGATAATGAACCATCCTGTCTAAATCACAATTAATTATGAGTATAAATTTGAACGCAAAAAGACCTGATGTAAGAGAAGTCCTTGTTAAAAAAAAAAAAAAAAAAAAAAAAAAGATGATGCCAAGTATTGATCTCTGCTTTCTGAAATTACCCTGTCTCAATTATCTATTGCATGATAAACCATAATGGCCTAAAAGAACAATGGTTTTATTGCCTATTGTTCTGAGTGTCAAGATTCAGGCAGAGTTCTGCAGAGACTGCTTTGTGATGTGAGTCATGTGATTGCATTCAGTTGGGGGCTACACTGGGTTAATCTAGGTGGCAAGGTCCACCATGGTCTCCATATCTGGGGGCTTGGTACTGGTTCTTCTCTTTAAGTGGCCTGTTATCCTGCAGGGCCTTTCTTCCCAGCCAATTAACCGGGATTTCTTAACATAAAAGCTGGGTTCTAAGAAAGCAAAAGTGGGTTTGAACATCTCTTAAGACAGAGAACTTGAACTTGCACAGGGTCAAATCCTCCATATTCTGTTGGTCAAAGCAAATCACAAGACTAGCTTGTAATCTGGGGTGGGGGTACTGTGTAAAAATAATGGCTTCTTGTTCTTGAAAGGAAGAATGATAACCTGATACTGCAAAGGGGTGAGAACCTAAAAAAGAGTGATTCATTGGAGGCCACTATTGTAGAATAAGTATCTACCATATATACTAAAACAAAATCTAGTTCCTCAAAGATCAATCAAGCTGTGTGGAAGAATGGTCCATGCCAGACACTAAAAATGTTGCTATACAAGATAAAGAGCATAAATGACAAGAATACTATGATAACTTCAGAATGTACAAATGTATTTAGGTATGCCTCATTATTGCAACAATCTTAACTATTAGTGGCAATAATGTCATGCCTGACAATGACAAAACTAATTTGTATTTAGCATTCTTTATAATACCTCTTCCCTGTCACACCTGGAAGTTCAGCTGAAGCTGTGCACTGTGTTAATGTTGTTGGCGGTTTTGTGATCGAACAGAAGGGAATTCAGCCTTCCTGCAGAAACAGGGACAGACTGAGAACTAACTCCTCTAAGGTAGAGATGCTGTGTGCACAAGAATGCTTAAAGCTCTAAGTCACAGATCCAGGAAGTATGGAAGATTTTAGTATCCAAACATAGAGTCATCCGTGTTTGCATTCGTCTATTTACCCTGCTTGAATGTCCCTTGAGATTCACACAAAGAACTCTTTGATACAAAGAAAATTATACATAATCTGATAAATATTGTGCAATATCCAAGCCTACGCACAAGATCTGGCTGTCTAGGCCTCCCAACTCAAGAATCTGTTGTTTGTTTGTTTGTTTGTTTCTTTGAAGTTACTTTTTTAAGAAATGGTTCATACAGTCAGTTATCAGTTAATCAGTGTATTGCTATCTATTCATTGGAAATTGTCTTCACAGAACTGGCTTCCTTCTTTGAATGCAACCATGCCCGAAGTCATCGCTTTTATATTGAAAGCGTCCTCAATCCTGATGCATTTATTGCTTATCCTTGTAGATCTTACAAATCTTTTAAAGCAGTAAGTAAAGCATTTTGCAGTAGAACTTAATTAGCAAGTCAGTTTTTGAAGCACTATCGGCCAACTAAAAATTAGTGCTTTAAGTATGTGGCAAAAAGTACATCTGCGATTTGGGGAAAATAATAGATTCTTTCTCTGTGCCGAGGACTGAACAGTAGCTGGGTTGCTGAAGGGCTTAAATAACTAAACCAACTATTTGTATTCTGGTTGTTTCAGCTCTTTTGAAGATTATATCCAGGATTGCATTTGGGGCCATTTGTTATGCGGTAATTAGATGCTATTGTGTAACAGACATAAGTCCAGGGCAAAAATTTTTCTGTGTATATATTTTAAATGTCATCTTCAAAGATGCCCTGAGAAGGCTGAACCAATCAATAGCTACAACAAAACATATTACTATTTACTTGGAACATGAAAATTATTTTATTAAAATTTAATTATTTATACAGAGCAGAACTAAGGCACAGAGAGCTCACAGGAGTGCCACACAGATCAATAAGGGACAAAATACCAAATCTGATTTTGCTCGAGTCATAAAGCGCACAGTGCCAGATCCGAGCTAAACGTATTTTTCATTTAGTTATCTCTATGAAAAGTAGAAAGAAAATCTGTTTTGTAGTGAAAAGTGAAAAAGACTTTCCTTCTGATGCTTTAGAGACCTAATTCCCTATTTAATCAGGGTAGAAAAATGTGGGGTTTCTAGTTGAAGTTTATTGTAAGTAATAGCACTTTGTGACTAAGTGAGGTATTTAGACAGCAATAAGCATCTCCCTAGTCTTAACCGACAGGGTGACTGGGTGTCCTCAGGCCACCTTCTCAGTCTCCCCAGCCGGTCCTTACTCGTGGCACGCCTATGAAGCTGGCCAGCCAAACACTGCCATTTCCCCAGTAACCTCATTCTAGTCCCACCTCCTCATTCTTACGGCCCCAGATGCTGTGCTCAGTGTCTGAAGGGATCTTGGCATTTACTGTGCTGAAGGCGGGTAGAAGAGACGCTCCGAGTCACCGTATATTCAGAGATAATGGGGCACAATCTGTGACATTGGAGAAATTTAGGCTCCTGTGCCACATGGATGCCAATTATGGCTACAAACTAGAGACATGCAGTCAATGTCCTTGACTTGTTTTATAGTGCTTCTATCCAAACAGTCATAAAAATGAAGCGAGATAAGATAAGATGATAAGATAAGATAAGATAAGATAAGATAAGATAAGATAAGATAAGATAAGATAGGAATTCTAGTGCCAGGCTATATGGTTCACATTCTTGCTCCATCACTTATTAGACATACAACATTGGACAAATTAAATTTAACTTCTCTGCTCTTCGGGTTCCCCGTCTGTTAAATAGAGAGACTAAAAGCACTATAATAATAAAGAGAACTTGTAAGGGTTAATTGAGTGAAATGCACATAAAGTGCCTAAAAAGTGGCTGACACATGATAAGCACTTAACAAATATGAGCCCTTTTATTATTGTTAGAATGTTTCTTCATTAAAAATTACTCACATCCTATGGGGTGCCTGGGTGGCTTAGTCGGCTAAGCGTCCGACTTTCGCTTAGGTCATGATCTCGCGGTTCGTGGATTCGAGCCCCACGTCGGGCTCTGTGCTGACTGCCAGCTCAGAGCCTGGAGCCTGTTTCAGTCTGTGACTCCCTCTCTCTCTGACCCTCCCCTGCTCATGCTGTCTCTCTCTCTCTCTCTCCTAGAAATAAATAAAACATTAAAAAAAAAATTACTCACATCTTAGCCTAAATGTCCATGTTTCATAAATCTGAAAGTTCAAACCCTAAAATAACAAACATTCAAACAGCACAACCCAGATTTTTTTAAGTTAACATTTTGTTAATTTTGCTTTAGATTTCAAAATGTACAGATGAAATTGAACTACCTAACATTCCCTCCACGTCCTTTTCTAACACGAGATTTGAAATGAATCTGATATTATATCAAATAAATAATATTATGCTGTATCTTTCTGGATTTACTTTTTTTGTTATTAAATTTTATAAATTTGAGATCTAGGGGCACGTGGGTGGCTCAGTCAGTTGAGCAACTGGCCTCAGACCGGGTCTTGATCTCATGGTTCATGAGTTGGGGCCCTGCGTTGGGCACTTCTGTCAGCACAGAGCCTGCCTTGGATCCTCTGTCCCATTCTATCTCTGCCCCTGCCCCACTTGTGCATGCATGCCTGCATGCTCTCTCTCTCAAAAAATAAATAAACATTAAAAAATGTTTAAAATAAAATATATTTGAGATCTACATCAATATATGTAGATCTAATATTTTATTTTGTAGATATTAGCCACAATTTATTTACTCACTCCCCTACTAATGGGCATTTTGATTGTTGCCAATTTTTCTTATTAAAAGCAATTATGTAGTAAATACCTCTGTGTGTCTGCTAGTGGGCTTGTGTAGAAGTTTCCTTATGGAATGTAATACAAGTGAAATCGTCAAAGCTTATGTGCATTTCTGTCTTTATTAGATATTACCAAATTGCTGTCTGTAGTATTTGTCCATTTATATTCCCAACAGGAGCAAATGAGAATCCTACGCTCCATGCCTTCACCACTGCTTGGTATCGCCATTTTTTTTTTAATTTTTGCAAATCTGCTGAGTATGAAATTGTATGTCAATTTGATTAGCACATTCCTGACACCTAGTAAGATTGAGCATAGTTATTGACTATTTGGTTTCTCTCTGCCTTGGATTATCTATTCATATCATTTATTTATGTTTCTAATAGGCCATTTTTTCCCTCTGTTACTTTTATTTGGTTTTGTTTTTGAAAACAACCAGGATGGCCTATTAGGCAACTTAGTCTTTTCTTTTTTTTTTCAGATGTTTATTTATTTTTGAGATAGAGAGAAAGGGCATGCGCGTTTGGGAGAGGAGCAGAGAGAGGGGAAAACAGAGTATCTGAAGCAGGTTCTGTGCTGATAGCACAGAGCCCAATGTGGGGCTCTAACTTACCAACCATGAGATCATGACTTGAGCCAAAGTCCAACACCTAATCGACTGAGCCACCCTGGTGCCCCAATAGCTTAGTCATTTGAAATGTATGTGCTTTATTTGAATTTCAAGGACTTATTATAGTTTAATAATATTTTAGGACTTTATCGAAGGTCAACATTGCTAAATACATTTCTGACTACCTCTTATTTTCTGTCACCAGGGAAAATGCTTCCATTGTCCCAAAGAAGGTTGCCCAACAATGGGTCATTTCGCTGATAGATTTCACCTCAAAAATATGCAGTCTAACAGATCATATTACTTTTTAAACACGGGGACTCTTTCCCCATTTGCCCGTAAGTATTGTAGCTCAGTTTTATTGTAATGCTTTAAGGTACTTATCTTTAAAAATTCAACAGTTTTTACTGAGTGTCTATCTACTAAATAACTGGGCATTGGTCCAGACTCTGAGGATGCAATGAAGAGACCATTGGGGAGGTTCAATCCCAAGTAATAAACGTTCTGCTGGGAGACGCACAGGGAGGACCTTCCACAACGAAGCCAAGCGAGCTTTCTGAGGGAAGGTGATTTCTAAGCTGACTCCTAAAAGATGGGTAAGAGAGAAAAGGAAATGGGAGTATTTCAGTCAGAAGAACATGTCAATGCCTTGAGGTGAGAGAGAGCCAAGTCAGAAAGAAGATTCTCCCAACAGGACTGGAGAGACCCTGAGGAGAGAATATGAGATGAGGCAGGAGAAGTAAATTTAGTCAAATAATGAAATTGTGTACCATGTGGGGAGTTAGGACTTTATCTACCAACTAATGGGAAGCCACTGAAGGGTGTTAAGACGATCAGATTGGTTTCTTAAAAAAATCATTCTAGTTGCTACATGGATTAGAGGAAGACAAGATGGAGGCAGAAAGGCCTGTTAGAACAAGTGTTGCCTCACCACCATGGGAGGTGATGGATGTGTTAACCAACCTGATAGTGGTAATTCTTTCACAATATATGTATATTATATGTATATCACATTGGACACTTACACAGTGTTATATGTCAGTTGTGTGTCAGTAACGCTGGCCAGAAAGGAAGGAGGAGCAGAGTGTGTACAGAGATGGTTGGGAGGCAGAATCAAAATGGAACTCGGTGAATGGATTTGAGGGCTGCAGAAAGTCAGGAAGTCAAGGATAATTCCGGCTAGAACAACAACATTCGATGATGTTCCATTCACCGAACTTGACAACACAGAAAGAAAGGCTGGCTTGGAGGAAGTAGATGGGCTCAGTTTCTAACTTATTAGATTTTGAGATGCCTTGGGATGTGGGAGTGTGTCCGCCTGTGAGGCGGTCAGAGGTATGGGTCACCGAACTGGTCTACAGATAGAGATGTGGGAGATACCTGTATGTAGATGGCAATCAGGGCTGTGGAGGCGGATGATGTAATTACCCAAGGAAAGTGTGTCAAGTGAGAAGAAAGAGAGCAGAGAAAGAGAACCCCCAAAGGAGAGTGAGGAATGGCAGAGAGAGAAGGTAAAACCGGTGTGGGGAGCAGTAAAAGGAGAGAAGAAAAGAAAAGACAATGAGGAATAGAGGATGCATCACCAAAAAGGCTTAAAAGGTCAGATGAGAGGGGAGGCCCAAAGGGCTCATGGGATGAAGCACCAATGCTGTCACTGGGAACATGGGGCCAGTGATCTCAGTGGAGATGCGGCTGTGAGAACGACTGAGGAGGGAAGGAGAACTCCGACAACCATCAACTCAGCAACTGAAAATTCTCTCTGGTAGGTTTTTGTCCCCTTTCAGACATTTTCAAACAATTTTTGGAAGAATTGCGTTTTTTTTCAATGTGTTATTAAACAGACAACAATTTTAGGATTCACAATGTAAGATCTGTTTCGTTCGAGATTTTTTTTTTTAAAGTAACCCTTGGCCACTTGCAACGGATTTATCCTGCTGACAGGCTTTGTGCTGTCCCAGACCCACACTAACCGGGTACTCTGAGCGCAGAGCCCTGCGGGAGAGGAAGGGCTGACTCGCTTGGCTTCTCATTATAAAAGCACAGACCCTCTTGCCTGATAGATGTTCTAGATTTGTTCTGGATTAGTGGCCAAACCACAGCCAATAAAAACGTGGCTGTGGAAAGTATGTGTGCTGCAAAATACAAATTTAATAGATGAAAGGAAACACATACATCCATTTTAAAAAGTCATAAAAGTCATAAAAATGCCTAGAAAATTTGAGAGATTCCTTTAAAGAATATCATGCCACTGTTTACTTTTGTAACATGAAAATATGCACATTTATATGTACCTTTAAAGGCAGTTTTTCACCCAATTCACTCAAGCTATATAAAGTTGTCTTTTTTCATGAACACAAACAGCCTCATTTCACGGCGGAAAGTTGAATTCATATCCAAGTGCTCAGAAGGTCATGCTTGTCTCATGTTTTCCCCTCTCCATTTTCTCTCTTCGTTTTCATTTCCAGGTTGGAGTCACAAATTATCTGTCAAACTCGACGGAAACAACGTCACCCAGGGGAGCGTGTTTCTCCGTGTAGGCGGAGTGACTGGAAAAACAGGGGCATTTGTGATAGCCAGGTAGGCCAGGGCCAAGGGCGAGGTCTCGGCGGGTGGCACAGTGCTGGGCATTTGGTCACACTGGCTCATTCAGCAGCTCAGTCCTTTTTTATAGCAGAACACCACAGGCTGGCATGCCACATCTGCCTTTTCTTTTCATGTTTTCCAGACATAAAATAGAAATCATGGTATCCGTGTTCTCCATGGCCCCAACTACAAACAGAAAATGTTAGAAAGTGATAGCATAAAATTACAGACCTAGACAATAAAGCAAGTGGACAATAAACAAGATATATTGTTAATTCAGTCCATTAATATCCTATAGATTTGAGCATATGTTTTTGTTTGTATAGATTCAAATCACTTATGGAATAAGACATTTATATACAAATTGCCAAATTTCTAAGAAGCTGAGTAGTGCACACAGATACAGGACATGTGTTGGGATAGTCAAAGGTGGGAATAATTCAGTAGAAATGGTCACTGTGTGCCTTTGGCTGAAGTCCCCTTTGATCTTGAGTTTTCCTTAAGCTTTCCTTTGGTCTGCCTTAGCATTTTTGCATAACGTATTTCACTTTTGTCATTTAATTCTGTAATCCATTTCTGAATTAACATTACGCATGCTAATTAGACGCTACCTTTTGGTAAACCAATGAATGGATTCGATTTTTGCCTCTCTGCTTTCCATCATCTTCAAATAGTGGACAGGGTCTTGAAAAACAGATTTTATGGGTTATTTTGTCAGTCAAAGGATGCATCAGATTAATCGCTCTGGCAATTTGTGCACATCGTCTTGCCTCAGAGCAACTGCCTACACGTTATGGGTTCAGTCGGTGATCATCTGGACCCTGGTCAATGCACAGGCTCCAGCCTACCCTTTGAGCCCTGTCTCCCACCGTTTGACTTTGTTCATCATCAGCTCAGCCACATTACCCTGATCGCACCACCCAGCATTGACTAGATCCCACCCTATCCTCTCTGCCTGACTTCACCTATGTTGTTCCTTTATTCCAATACCCTTCCCTGTCTTGGTGTATCTCATTTCCACCTGTTCTTCATGTCCCCATTAAGCCAGTCCTCTGTAAGCAGTTCAATACAATCATGTGTCTGTGGCTCTGAGACCCACACGATATTGCCTAATGCTAGACAGTTTGAGCCCTGCGGAAAGGCACCTGACCTGGGACAGGTAGGGACAAATAAGTGTCCTTGCCCCTTAAAAATATATAAGAATATTTGCACATCTCTGCATTTGTCATCTTGCTGCATAGCCACCCAATCCTCTTTTAGGATAATTCAGCATTTCTAGTTCACAGTAGATGTCTCATCTTGAAATGAAGTCAGATAAATGCATTTCCATGCTACCTATTCTTATTTTTCAGTCAAGTGTCAAGAGTCTGGCCCCTTTTAGTCATTTGGGCTTCTAATGACATTGTTAGGAAAGAATGGACAGTAGGTTCACACTGAGTGAAGGCAGTTCAGGGAGCAACAGGAAGATTATCCTTAAGAATTTGGAAGAAGAGCTGCCTTCTGGTAATTTAGTCAATTAAGTCTACATGAAATGGAATAAGCCAAGCCCTAGGAGTATTCATTCAGGCCCAGTCATTCATTCACTCAGTAAACAAACATTTGAATGCCCACTGGGTACCAGGAATTGGTCTAATTGCTAAAGAAACAGCCACACGTCCTATTCTTGTGGAACGAATCTTCCAGAGGAGGAGACAGGCAATAAATAAACAAAGGAAGAAGGAAACAACAGGAAGAAGGAAATCTCATCTGGTCTAATTTTGGCTTGGATGAGATATGCCCTGGGCCTCAATAAACCACTTCCCTCTCTTCTATTGCCATGTTCACCAAAACAGCTTTTGTTGACGAGTTTGGTTACCTGATTCTTTTTATCCAGATAAAGAAGTTACCAGGAAAAGAGTTGGAATATTAATAAGGAGAAAGCACTTCCCCACTCTGTTCTGATAGATCAGTTTTCTGTGAATTGAGCTCCTCGTTGACAGTTTGATCATTTCCTGGTGTCAATAAAATCTGGTTCCTAATACTATAAAGCCAAGACCAGACCTTTCAAGATAGTGCCTTTCCAGGCACCACCCCCAACATGAACTAGTCAAGGCTTCCTTTTCCCTCATCCTTCTTTCAAGCTTCAGAACCATGCTATTCTAAATTGCTGATAAATATGAACAAAAAGAATGAATCTCCTACAAGCAAATGCAACTTTCTGTTTCATGATACCATAACTGTTGTTTCCTACACTGTCAAGACTACCCAAGGCAAGCTTTTGAGTCTTATTTTTCTGTTTACAGTGGAACACTTAAGCCAGGCATGACTTATACAAAATTAGTTGATGCAGACGTTAATGTTGGAAATGTTACAAATGTTGAGTTCCTTTGGAAGGAACATTTGTTTGGACACTCTGAGAATAAGTTGGGAGCAGAAATGTTAATAGATGTATCTGGGAAATATGGATATGCGTAAGTATTACTTTTTCCTTTGTTTAAATTTTTAATGGTATCGAAAACCTACATATATTTTGAAATTTGCAACTAGCATACAAATTTGTACATCTTGAAATGTTATAACGAAAGAAAAAAATTATTTAAGAATCCAATATTGTATTTGCAAAAGTGTTTACAAAATAATGGTTACTCATTAAATTAGATCTACCATGTCTTCCCTTCCCCACCCCCCCAAGAATCATATTAATATCCTTTTTTTCCTCGTAAAATTTTTCAGGTCTACGTTCTGTAGCCAGGACATTATGGGTCCCAATGTTGTCCAGATCCTGAAACCATGCCAATCTCAGATACAGTCTTGATGGATGTCCTTAATGGGAGCAGTGAAAGAATGTCCTTCTAGTTGGTATCTGAACCAAACTTGGTTTTTGTGAATGAGGCAGAAAAGTACAATTGTTGTTTTCTATATAGTATGTTTTCTCATTGACAAACTTTGTAAGTGCCTTGAAACAGACTGAATCCTAGGACAGAGTATGGTAATCTGAAGGAATCAGAGTACCAGTGACAAAATAAAGCTGTGTGAGAATTTCCCCTGAATGAGAAGAGGAGATGTCCAAGTCTGGTGGAATAAATTCACTGGGCAGAAGTGAGACTCTGGTTGAGTATTTGAAGTACATTTTGAGTATTTCCAGGTCAAATAATCATTGTTCTAAAATGATTTAAAGAATGTTTGTTCTGTTGTTAAATTGCTAAGACAAATTGTGACTAGAGTTCATGATATATAGTGATGATAACCCTGTGGGTTGATATACTTATGTATTAATAATGAAAACCAATGAGAGTACATGAGTATTTCCAAGTTGCTCCTTGGACTTCAGGTGTATGTGAAGTAAAAGAGATGTGGGGGTCTATCTGTGATGCGCCAGTTAGCAATAGGCCCTGAGTATCCTCAGCCCCTTCTCTAGAAGCCCCCAGCCATGGGAGATTACTCCTCTCTGGGCCTTGAAAGTTCCATAGTAGAAAATTTGCATTTAGCCTGAAGGCAGCATTTCATTTGTAAAGCACTTGACTATCCCTTTGTGTTTGCAATAATAATACTGTAATATTTAAATGTATCAATTTTTAAAAAGTTTTTTTGCTTCAATCTTGTGTAATTCATTTGTCCTTATCTGGTGCAAATGAAAGCTGAACGTTATTTGCTTTGTTTTCTAACGGGTTTAGTGGTTAGCCTGCCACCCTATGCTGTAAATGATGTCAAAAAGAAATGATGACAGGTCCTCTGCAGAGGTTTTCTTGATTCTCCTTGATGCCTTGCTCCCATGTGAACCTCAGAAGGGGCCCCTGGATGTACTTAAACCTGCACTGCAGCAGAAAGCAGAGAACAAAGTGGGGCGGCTCTTTCCCATTGTGCAAGGAAGAGCTAGTGGACTGATTGGAGCGCAAGACTTGCTGGAAGGAGGGAAGGAGAGGCAGACACATTTGGCACGATCTGGTTGACTGTCTACTCGCTGGTGGGCGTGTCCACCCTAGGCATCGGCCAGCACAGGGGCAGGGTGGCCATGAGCAGCCCCACGGGAGAGTCTGAGCCCTCCTGAGTAACACTGTGGCTGACCCAGCACCCCATGGCTCTGGGGACAGGAAACCTTCCTACTAAAGCGGCTGTCCTGAGCCTGCACTGTTCTCTGCTCAGCCTTTCTTTCTTTCAAAAAGGGCTTGGCCACCAGCAGCAAGAGTTATGGGATCAAGTCACAGCATGAGGCTCTGTGAGTCCTGGCCTGCTTCCTTGCCCAAGAGGCCTCTTGGCTGCTTCTTTCTAAGCTTGAAAAGACAAATGGGAGCCAATTAACTTCTGGAAACCCTATTTTAATAAAGTACAAACTTTCCATTCCATGGATCTTACTATCCTGTCCTTTTTTCCCCCTCTGCATTATTAGAATGTTGTGTGGATGAAAAATTGTGCCTGGACTATGTAGGCAAAGGGATTCTGAAAGTTTAGAGTGACAGCATTGTTTTCTGTGTGTATTGTTCCCTAGGAGAACACTAAAAAAAAAAAAAAAAAAAAAAAAAAAAGACTCCCTTTTTCTCTGAGTGCCCTGTATTATGGTAACTTAGTATTTAGAGCCAGCAGATGTTGGAGCAAGGAGTGTTAGGAAATTCTTCTGCTCCTTGAATGAACTACCATTAATGCTGAAGAATGACTTCCAATCCAGTGAGCCATTTACTTCCTCCACCCTCATTGCCATTGATTCACTCAGACCTAGTCATCATGTCACCCCAAATGCCCACCTCTGAAATTGTTAATATGAGCATACCCCTCTCTGATGACAACTGTGTCCCTTCAGGCTCACTAACTGACATTCTCAGATCTCCTAGTGACTTTGATCCATTTCCATTACCCATCTACTTTCTCAAAATCTACCAACCAAATCATTTTCTTTCATACTCAGCTTAAACTGCCTGATAATTTAGTTTAGTAATAATGCCTATAATGCCTAAACCCCAGCTCTTTTTTTTTCTGTATGCTATTAAGCAAAACTTCTACCTAAATGCACCAAGGTTTCCTTTCTCTAGGCCAGCACTCGAACAGCTTTGTCCTACTGAGACACCGTATCACAGGAAGGCTGATATACCTAGAAATCAGCCATCAACAGTCTTGAAATTCTACCTATTATTTTGTGTTTAATGTCTATTTTATACCTCCTACCCTGAAGTCTCCCTGTACTTTGTACAGAAAACAGAGGTCATCAGAGAGTAAATCTCTCCTCTTTATTTGTTTGTTTGTTTGTTTTCTAGAGAGAGAGAGAATGAGTGGGAGAAAGGGGCAAAGGGAGAGACAGAATCCTAAGTAGGTTCCATGCTTAGCACTAAGCCTGATGCAGGGCTCAACCTCATGACCTTGGGATCATGACCTGAGTCAAAATTAAGAGTCAGATGCTCCACGGAGCCACCCAGGCACCCCTCCCTTCTTTTTGATCCAAATCTATCAACTACCTACATCTGCATCCATTTCATCCTGTTCTGCTCTAGTAAGGAAAAGCTGCCCCTTCTCCCATCCAAGGTCAATGCCTGCCCCATGCATCGACTTTCACCCTCTCTCCTGCTTTCTTGGGAACATTATGCTATTGATTACATTCTCCTCCTTTTGCATATGCAGCCTCTCATTGCATCAGATTTTTAAAAGTCTAGGTCTCTCCCAATGGGGGAAAAATTGTGTTCAACCCTAAATTGCCCTCTACTCCCATCTGACCTCAGATCCCTGACATTCCCAGCAACCGCCAGTCACTAAGTTGAATAGGAAATCTTACCCATTTATTCATTCCTTCATTCAGCGGAATTCAACACTTGTCAACTACCCCCTACTCTCTTGCTTCTTAAAATAAAAAAATTTTTTTTTGCTTTTTATTTTCCATTGTAGAAACTTTCAGATATTCACAGCAGCAGAGAAGTTGGTTAAATAGAACCCCCGAGGTTTTTGCCAAATAGTTTAACAACTTGCAAATTTTGCCAATTTATGAGTGTGTACACAAGCACACACTCCCTGTTTTTGTTGTGTTTGTTTTTGCTGGAATAATTTAAATCAAATTCCAGGCATAATCCTATTTCTTCCATTTATACTTCAAGCTGTTTAACATGGCTACACTCTCCATTTAATAAATCTTTAACAATAATCATTTTTAAATGCACTTCAGATTAACTGAAAAAAATTAACAGGAATTCCTTAATATCATCTTATACTGAGACTGTTTTTAAGTTTCCAAAATTGCCAGAAAAATGTCTTTGGGCAGTAGGTTTGTTTAAACTGGAAACCAAGCAAAATCCAAACACTGTCTCTATTGACTTATCCCAAATCTCTTCGCCTACAACTGTTCCTCCTTCCCCTTCTTGCACACTAGGTATTAAATACACCAGTTCCCTTGTCCTGTACTTTTTCTCACATTTAACTGATGGAACCCTCTTGGTATCATTTCCCACATGTCTTTCCTGTAAATTGGTTCTTAGGCTGAGAGAGTGACAAGATTCAGAGTCTGCCATGCTGGGCAGTGGGGACTGAGCACCTACCTGCTGACCTATAGGATGGGCAGTTTCTGCACCTGACTTGCCGCTCTCTCTTGCTCGCTCTGCTTTCTCTCTTTTTCTTTTTATTTCAAGGATAAGGTATATGGTATCACTTTATAAATTCAAAAGGGCGATACCAATTAGAGTCATGGGTAGAATAGAATAGCAGAAGGCAGATTGCTTAAACAACCCTCTTAACCTGGTTGCTAAAACATCAGGCTAAGAGGAGAAAGTGCCTGGAAGAAGGTCTGCAAGAGTTGGTGCTCTGGGAAGAGTGGAGGAAAGGGCAAATGGCTGTGTGAAGATGCAGTGCTGGAAGCGGCATTGACCTCTGTACTCTGGCTGGGGCTGGAGGATGTAGATTCTCAAGGGTCCTGCAGAAGCGAAGGAAAATTCACACACCTGGTAGAGTTGTGTGACCACGTCCCCAGGCTCCTCAGATCAGAGTGAACAATAGGAATTACCTTGCTCAATAGAGCCCTCAGGTTTTGTTGACTCTGCAACTCTCCAGAACAAGCCCAGGGCGTCAGGAACAGGGATGTATGCCAAGTTATTGTTTCCCAGCGTTTTAAAACCTCAGCCCAAGTTAGATAAACATAAAAATCTCATGTCCCTCCTGGGGTCTTTACTCTTCCACTTGGAAACAATCAATCTTTTTTCATATACCTTCTGACGACAAAGATTTTATAAATCTTTACTTTCTGTAACTCATAATAAAAATGATAGGTGTGCCTTGCTTGTGTTATGTTTTTTTTTCCCAAATACGTGCTTATAACACTAGATGGGTTTCTTTATTTTACGTGCACTTCTCTACAAGTTCTGCTATAAATGATTTAAGTCTTAGACACAGGAGAGTGGAGCTTCTATTAGATTTCATGCCAGCACGAAAGAGGCTAAATGTCTAGGTAGACTGAGCCACAGATTTGGGGCAAATGGTTACTTCCTTGCAAAGCCTATTTTTTATGTTTGAGTTTTGCCAACATTTAGTCTATACATAGTCACATATTTTTCCTGTCTGTTCATAGGCCTTTTTGTTTTGTTTTGTTTTCATTCATTCATTTAACAAACATTTGTTGAGTTATCCTTCTGTTACCTTCACTTGCTCAGTAACAAGTTATATGAGAAACAAGACTTAGACCCTGCACAGAGTGTGGACAGGGACACGGGAAAGGAAATCCTTGATGATATGCACCATGGCAAGGTCTTGTGATAGACGTGGGCACAGGAGTGAGAGAAGCAAAGAAAAGGGTGTTCTTCTCTCCTTCAGCCTCTGCTCCATGGTCTCTTGGGGAAGCCAAAATAAACAGAAATCAGTAAAGTTTCATGTCTGAATTCTGTGGTAACCACATGTATTGTTCCAAGCAATTCCATTTTGGGATTTAATGTACTTTATTTTTGCAATAGCTAATATCCCAGAGAAATAGAACGGGAATTTCGCTGAAACACACACACACACACACACACACACACACACACACACCCCCTCTGGATCTGTTGACTGTGAACTGTGGCCAGAGGAGCAGTCATTTCCTTGAAGGTCTCAGGCACAAGGAGCAGAGGTCACAGTCAGTAGATTTAGGACCATGCCACCCCCAGCAGGACAATGTTTTCCAACATACTCCCCTCAGGCTCACCTCTGACACAGTTCAGGGGCCCCAGTTGAGTCGATGGCCAAACGAAGCCCATGGATCATGAAAACAGATGGAATTACGAAGCTTCTGTCCACCATTTTGCAACAATTACAAGAAACCTCACGTTTAAAAGGAATTAAGAAACGTATAATTGTGTGGTAGCAGAGAATGCCACTTGAACACCCTTAGCTCAGAGAGCAGTAGGCTACACTTCTGGACGCTGTTATTAATATGACTCTCTTTGTTTAATTAAGAGCTCCCACCAAGGCATTACTCCATATGTAAGTGTGAGAAAAGGGAAGGTTAGTGGTTCCTTTCTGGCTTAAAAATGAAAAGGAAAACGCATGCATATTTACAGCCTCTGGAGAACAGGAAGAAATTGAAATTTTATTTCCCCAAAAAACATATTTAGGTCAACACATCAGAACTAGACCTTTAACAGGACAGGGGTTATGTTCACAGGATAAAACATCATTACCTAACTCCGGGTGTTTTATTAAAGCTTTTATTACCCATAGTGCCGTTTGCTTTTTCTCTGAAGCTGAAGGGCAAAATGCAACATTACCACTGTCTTGTTTACAGAGCTTTCTCTCACCAGCATGGACAAAGGCCCACAGATTTTCAAAACCCGAAACTGTAATTCTGTTGGTTATCATGAAGAGGAGAGAGGCCCAAGGAGTCCAAAACACACAATTTGGAAAAAAGAAAATGAGGAAGACAAATCAAATACAGGACACACACTATTTTGCACAAACACTGTGGATGATGTTTTCTGAAATCTGAGAAAGGAAGTTTATTCCTTTTTGAATTTCTGCAATATTGCAAAATTTGACATAGAGCACAGAGCATAGAATTGTGACTTAGAGGGTCCCAAGTCCTGTCCTGACCACCAAGTCAGTTAATGAAGAGGACTGAGGCAAATGATTTTCCTCTTTGGGCTCAGTGTGCCCACCTGCAAAACAAAGATAATATTTATGATTTCTGCTGTTGCTTTCTCATTCTGGAACTCTTTGGTTAATGAGGCAATGGTATGCATACATAAATGAATGTATAGATGGGTGAGTCAATCGATAAAAACTAAAATTTGGGTTTTCTTGTGTGATCATAATTCTTCCTAACAATGTAAAACTCTTAGGTATTTATACGTTTTATGATGTATACTGTTTGTACCCAATAAATTCCTTTTTTCCTGATGTTTGAT